AAGAAATTCCAGTATATGCCTTTGACAATAAAAAAGGATGTTACGCTTAAGCCGGCAAACTTATTTTTGCCAGCCTTCATCTAGCACCAATTTTTTTTTGCTCAGCTTAATAAACCCACAAGAGAATTGGAACTTAGATTTAGTGAACTGATGGGGAACATAGCGATGTTGATGACGACATGAGCCGGATTGCGACGACTGAAGCACGAACAATGATCATGCAACAACAGCAGCAGAACTGTGAAACCAAAGATATGCTTCGGAATCATTTTGAAATAAATGGAAACCGGTGCACTTGGGGTTTTTCCGTTTTTCATTTCTTTAAGAATTACTCTTTTTGTGCGCAAGTATTCTAGCGTTCTGTTTTAGCGGAATTCCTAGTAAATTTGGATCGAAACAGCTTTGTAGGGTTGGTACTTCGTCTAGAAATGTACATGAGCATTACGAGCAGTTAGAAAAAAATCACAAATTAGCTAAGCAACCGATGAAACACAGCAATCGAACTGGAGTACTGAAGCAATCGAGCCTGACGAGGATATTTGACGAATAGGCAGAACACGTGGAATGACGTAAGAACGGTGCGCACTGCTCTGGCTTGTAGAACTACCTGTGAAAGTGAGAAGCACAGGAACACACGAACGAGAGAATGTAAGGTGATTTTTACAAAAAATCGCACAAAACCCACCTAACAAAGAAATGGCTGTGTTGCGTGTGTAGCCCGCTTCGATTTAGCTAACTTTTTGACTGAAGCCCAAGTGCGCTTTTCAACGATCCACTGGAAAATGCCAAGAATGCTGCTGCTGTTGTTTTTTACGAAGCACAAGGGGTTGGTTAGTCCAAGAATGCCCCCTTACTTTCACAAGGTGAGCAAAAATTTCAATTTTTCACCAGACAAAATCCCAATTTTGCAGCTTTAACCACAAGCTAATTATGGATTTGTGTATTTACAATGATGCCATCTAGAAAGACGTCATGGAAATTGTCCATGCATGTGTGTGTATGTGTGTATGTATGTGAGCGGCCTGTTTCGCATGCTGCGCTCACAGGATGACGTGTGGAAGTGCATGAATGACGAAGAGTGGCTTTCGAGGAAGCGAGTAAGCCATCAGGATGCAGCGGCTACTGCAGCATTATGCTTTTGGTGCCTGAACTGAACTCCGCTAGCACACATTCCAGCCATCTCAACCCCTGTTCCATTTGTTGCCCTCCGGAGCCTCTGCTTTTCCCTATTAATCCATAAAATTGCATCTTTCACGCCTTGTTCCTCACTGTCCACATCGGCCCGGTCAATTCCTCTCAGTCTTTGAGCTTTAGCAGGAAGCTTTCAGGGCTCCTGGCCTGTCAGATTTCATCCTTGCCTTTCATTCTTCCCCTCCCCCTTCGTCTTAAATTAACACATACAAGAGTTCCTGTGCTAATAGTCTATGCCACTCAAGCTTAGCCGGACAAGATGCGACGAAAAACTCTCTTCGTTTGCTTGTAGCTGCCATGATTTGCATCCTGCCTTTCCTCTACACTGGTTAGCCTGTTGCCAATCTCGCATCAATCATGATGCATGCCTGAATCAGAATTTTGTTGGAGAATTTAATTTCGCCACTTAATTTTTTGCGAGCTGATGAATTTTGCGATTGTTCCTTTACTTCCAGGATGCAGCGGTAGCAATTCGGGAGGCGCATAGGACGACCGTTCAACTGGATTGATGGCTAAATACAAAAAAGGTATTTTGATTGGCACTTTAAGAGTTACCTAAATTTTAAGTACAAAACTACCGCCACACTCTTCGCCTCAAAATCAGCT